GTCCCGAATGATGCAATCCGCCTTCATCTCTTCCCCCATTCTCTGGCGGGGAATGCTAAGAGGTGGTTGGAGACCCAGCCCCCATTGTCCATCACCTCTTGGGACGATCTGGCTGACAAATTCGTGCACCGGTACTATCCGGCATCGAAGACTACAGAGATTCAGCGGGAGATCACTCACTTCCGCCAAGAGCCAGATGAGTCCCTTCGTGATGCTTGGGAGCGGTACATGGGCTATTTCTGGCAGTGCCCCCATCATGCCTTCAGTGATGCATTCACAGTGGGGAACTTCTACAGTGCCCTTTCGCCAGATAGCCAGAGGGTGATTGAGTCTCTATGCCCAGGAGGGGATATTCTTACCAAGACTCCACCCGAGCTGAACCAGATGATCAGTACTTTGGCTGCCAGAGATCATTCTTGGGGACTGGGTAGCCGAGGCAGACAGTCCCGGGACCGTGGTGTGCACGCCATGGAGACCAGATCCGGGCTCGAGCAGCAGGTAGCTGAGCTAGTGCAGACATTGAAGCAGCCTAACAGTCTGATTCCGGGCAGAGGTTTGGCTACACCTCCAGTTGCTCAGTGTCAGTGGTGTGAGAGCTCCAGTCACCTAGTGGAGGACTGCCAGGCTATGAGGGAGTCTACCACACCCCAGGAGCAGTTGGCCTTCATCGCCAATGCGAGGCGCCTTGATCCATACAGCAGCACATATAATGAGGGGTGGCGCCAGCATCCCAACTTCGCCTGGAGCAGCAACACCACTAAACCACCTGGTTTCCCAGCACCAGCAGGTGGTTTTCAGAAGAGGCAGCCCTACCAGGCTCGCCAGGGGCCAGACTCACAGCAACAGCCCTACCAGCCTAGGCAGGGCCAGCCATTCCAGCAGCCCCAGCGCCAGTTTGCTGAGCCAGCAGCAGCTCCGGCCCCAGATGACAGGATGACGAAGCTAGAAAACATTCTAGCTTCATTCATGACTAGCACCCAGGCTGCTATCACATCACTGGAGGCAGGTCAGCGGAACCAGGGTGCCATTTTGCAGGATCTGTAGACCCAGGTGGGCATCTTGGCCCGCCAGAGCACCACCAGGGCACCGGGGACTCTGCCTGCCACCACTGTTCCTAATCCTCGAGATCCTCACCAGCATCAGCAGCTGGATGCCATTTTTACCAGGAGCGGTAAGACCATATCTGCTGACCCTGTCCCGGCCAGACAGGAGGAACCACTGCCTGCTCCAGCACTTCCAGCCGACGATGCAGAAGTGCGGGTGGAGAAGGAAGCCCCTGTTCCCAAGCCACAACCAGTGGTTAAGGAGCATGTACCCCAGCTTCCCTTCCCCACTCGCCTACACAAGGACAAGCTGGAGACTGAGTTTGCCAAGTTCATGGCAATGTTGAAGCAGCTCAACATCAGCATACCGTTCATGGAGGCACTGTCGAAGATGCCCAAGTATGCCAAGTTCATGAAAGATATCTGCATCAACAAGAAGAAACTTGGGGATCTCTCGACAGTGATGCTGAGCGAGGAGTGTTCTGCTATCCTGCAGAACAAGCTGCCCGAGAAGCGCAAGGATCCAGGGAGTTTTACTATCCCTCTTACTATTGACAGCATGCATGTAGGTAAGTCCTTGGCGGACCTAGGCGCTAGCATAAACGTCATGCCATATAAGTTGTATAAGAAGCTAGACCTAGGTGAACTTAGCCCTACTAGGATGAGCATTCAGTTAGCTGATCGTTCTATCGTGCATCCTAATGGTATCATTGAGGATCTGCTTGTTAAAGTAGGTACATTCACATATCCTGTTGATTTTGTTATTCTTGATGTGCATGAGGATGTGGATGTGCCTTTGATTCTAGGTAGGCCATTTCTTGCCACCGCCAAGGCACTTATTGATGTGCATGATGGTAAGTTGATCTTGCGTGCTGGGGATGAACATGCTACTTTTTCTGTGACTGAGTTTGATCACTGTGCTATGATTGCTGTCACGCCTGTGCATGCTATGTCTGATCAGGTACACGAGCCTGTCGTGTATCCTTCTGCTCCTCTCATTTTGCAGGACCCTCCTATCATTCCTTCGCCGCCACTCCATCCAGCCTCGCCTCCGAACAAAAAGTTCAAGGAGGAGTGGCGGCCGAAGCAGCAGGTTGCTAAGCCTGCACGGAAGAAGAGTGGAGACCACTATGAGCTGGTCCCACCTCCTGCACCACGACCACCCTGGCCGTCTGGGTACTCACTCGCCTGCATCTTGCCAGATGGGCAGGTCGAGCTGACTGATGATGGTGGTCGCATCCATCGGGTGCATGGCCACAACCTGAAGCTGTACCTCAAGAGCGATGTGGATCCGCTCTTGGAGACACCTGTTCCTGCACCGCCCTGAGTATCCACCATGGGCGTCCAGCTAAAAGACGGTAAAGAAGCGCTTGTGGGGAGGCAACCCCACCACGGTTTGATTTTCTTTCTTATATTTTGAGTCGGATTGTAACCCGGTTTGGGTTTGGTTTGTTTTCTTTTGGTTTGGATGATATTTTATTGGGCTGACCATTGAACCTAACATATTGTGTTTGAGCTCTTCTGTTTCCCTTTGGCTGTGCGTGCCCCGACTGGCCCGTTTCCAGTCTCGTGCAGTCCGTGCATACCGGTAACATCGTTCCCTTATCCTTCCCTCTTCTCCATTGAGGGCAATGTCGATCTTAAGTGTGGGGGGGGGGGGGATGTTTATCTTTTGACTGCATTAGATCTGTTTGTGTGCTTGGAGCCTAGTCCACTATCCAAATTTTTAAATTTGAGGGCTCCAAGTACGTGTTTCCATGCAATTTCCTGCTCAGTATGCTTTGAATTGACAGTCTTTATAGTAATGTGCAACCTAGGGAGGTAGTGTAGCACTATGGAGGATGTTGATGCATTTAAGAAGTCTCATTTCTTCTTCATATTGTGTTGGTTGATTGAGTGAATTAGTGATCTTAGGACCCTTGAATTGTGTGGTGTTGTGGATTCTCTGCTTGTCATGGACTCTTGTATCATGTTTTGAGTTTAACAGGTGCTCGAAAATGTGCTTCAAAATAACGTCTCCCGTGCGAATAGGGCGAAAGTGTGTAAGGGGAGACGGGAATCCGTTCCCAATTTCCACCTACTACCTCCAGCCCCCTTACATGTCTTTCCCCCGCACGAGGCTCGAGACATCCGCTCCTTGCATGGCCGGTAAGAGCAGGTTGGGACCCTTGAAAAGAAAAGAAAAATAACAGAAAACAAGCAAAACAGGAAAAAAAGGGGTTCCAACCATCCTTAATCAGAAAATAGAGCACCTTGAAAAAATGTGAGTCCATGATCTTTTGTTTTTGAGAATCTCTTCATCCACAATTCATTTGTCCTCTGTTCACTGTTTGCCATGATGCCGACTCGCCGAAAAAGCTATGAGATGACTTGTGCGTCGGTTGACCTCGTAAGCTGCTAAATGATCTAGGAAGTCCTCTATCTACGATCTGGGTTGTTTGTTGCTATGGAGGTCTGGAGAGTTGCATTGGTTTGAGTTAGGTTTGCTTGGGGACAAGCAAACGGTTAAGTGTGGGGGAGTTTGATAACGATGTAATTGCACATATTTGCGCCCCTAGTTCTTATCCGTTTGAGGGGCATATTCGTGTGTTGTGGCCTATTTTACGCTGGGTTGTGCTATTTTGTCATGTTTCAGGTCCCAGGTGTCAAAGGGAAGGCTAAGCGCGAGTTTCGGGGCATTCGGAAGTCATTTCGGTGAGCTGGAGCCAAAACACGGGCACACCTAAATCATTACACGGCCGTGTTCTGGTGGCCGTGCTTTTTATGCCGAGAGCTGAGCTGATTACACGGGCAGGGCCAAAACAAAGCACGGGCGTGTTCAAGCATTACACGGCCGTGTCCAAAGCGAAGCACGGCCGTGTTTCTCCCCACTGCTGCTAGTGTAATTAACACTAGCCAAAGCACGGGCGGGCTGAGGCATTACACGGCCGTGCCCTCGACCGTGCTTTGGCTGATGCCTTTTTAAGCAGATTTTCAGCCAAACAGAAGGGGATGGGAGTTTTTGAGAGAGAGATCAGTTCCTAGAGAGAGAAAGTGACGAGCAAGAGTTCCCAAGTGCCCTAGATTGATCTTCAACACCATTGGAGGTCAGCTTGAGCTTGGAGAAGTGCCAATCAACGTCCAGAAGCAGGAATCCATCCTTCGCAGTATGAATTCCGTGTCTGATTCTGCTTTTGCTTTCTTCTCTATGGAGTAGTTCTCCCATTCATCTGGGTATGGAGAACCCTAGATTTGTATGTTAGGCTTTGATTGTATGAACCCAAGTACTGATTCTGTGATTGATTATATTCGATTGAGGTTTTAATGATTGAATGACTTGAATCCTGATCAAATTCCTGTTGTTTCTGCTTTAACCTAGAATGAGAATATCTGCCTAGGTTAATAGAGTATCCTTGATTGAAGGTAGGGAGTTGGTGACTTTAGTCGAGGAGCCAACTCACTATTCTGTACCAGATTTACTCCGGTAGTGGAGGTTTTGTTCTTAGAGCCTCAATCTGTCGACTCCGGTGGAGGTTAGTCGCCCGCTAGAGAGTCAGATTGAGAGGGCCTGAAGACCTTTAGTCGAGACTTCAGGCTGTTTAAGAACCTTCCGCAGTATAACTGTCATAGAAACTGAACTTGGTAATTACAATCCGGCTTAACTGCAGTCTAGGGGGAACCATATCCGGGTGACCTCTTTAACCTGAATACAACCAGTTTACTTGCTTTGTTTGTTTGGTAGTTTAGACTTGCACTCCAGTTTTATTGCTAGATAACAAGAACTCACTGAGTAGTCGGCAAATCTAGGACCCAGGTTGATAATTAAACCCAAACCCGCTATACTACGCTTTAGGAAGTGGTTTCACTTGGCCAATTCCTGGAGTGACAGTAGAGTCGAGTCAGCTATGCGGCGGGGATTTTAACCAGGTTCTGTCGTCGCCTGAAAAAAGCGGGGGCAGAGGAGTACATGAGGCTGAGATGACCCAGTTCAATGACTGCCTGAATGATATAGGGTGCCATGATATGGGATTCCTCGGCTACCCATTCACATGGGAAAATAGACGTACACGAGGAGGTTACATTGAAGAACGTTTGGACAGGTTTATTGCAAATGAAAAATTGACTTATCTATTCCCTAACGGAAGAGTGCAACATGGGGACAGGGCTCATTCTGACCACCGACCTATTATGTGCGAGTCCATGGGTGAGGAAGATATGGACGTTAAGTGGGTAGTTTACTTTCGTTTTGACCCGCTGTGGGCAAAGCACAGCGACTGCTTCACTGCGATTGAGGCGGCTTGGAAAACCTCCTCTTCTAGTGATATACTTGACAAGATAGCCCGCTGCTGCAATGACCTTGAGAATTGTAGCAGGCAAGCTTTCCCGGGTTTTGCAAAACAAAAGAAGAAGGCGTACAGGGCAATCCGAGCATTGGAGAGAAGAGAGAAAAATGAGATGAATCTTGCTCGGCTCCGGGTTCTCGAGGACGAGCTGGCGGATATCCTGGATAGTGAAGAAAAATGTTGGAAGTAGCGCTCCCGTAATGAGTGGCTACGATCAGGAGATAAGAACACGGGTTTTGTTCACAGGAAAGCCTCTGCTCGTCGGAAGAGGAATATGATTAAGAAGATTCGAAATGAAGCAGGGCGATGGTTCACGAGGCAGGATGAGATTTCACAGTGCTTGGTTGATTATTATGGAACGCTTTTCACAGGCGGGACTCTCCCTACTGATTGGCCGGTGTTCGATTCCATTAGTCCGAAAGTTGGCATTGAGGATAACAAAGCTCTCCTACGGCCATTTGAGAAAGATGAAGTATGGACAGCCCTGAAACAGATGGGGAAGCGCAAGGCTCCTGGCCCCGACAGTTTATCCGTGTTCTTCTTCCGCAAGTACTGGTCGGTTGTTGGGGATGATGTTACAAAAGCAGTACTACAGATCCTGAACACGGGAGTTATGCCCGCGGGTCTTAATCACACCCTAATCACGTTGATCCCGAAGGTTAAGCAGCCAGTGACTCCTAAAGATTATAGGCCGATAAGCCTATGCAACGTGCTCTACCAGGTGGTGTAAAAAATTCTCGCGAACCGGCTAAAGCCGTTGCTGGACAGGATCATCTCACCCTCCCAGAGCGCATTTATTCCTGGGCGCTTTATCACGGATAATATTATGACTGCTTTCGAGTGTTTTCACACCATGAAGCGTAGCAAGAGATGGAAGCACGTGGTATTTTGCAGCCAAGATTGATATGGCCAAGGCATATGACCGGGTGGAGTGGCAATTTTTGGAGGGGGTGATGCGGATGATTGGTTTTGAGGAGATGGATCCGGTTAGTTATGATGGGCATGAATACCGTGTCCTATTATATCCTGGTGAACGGCACCAATCACAAACGTTCATGCCGGGCAGGGGAATTCAGCAGGGCGATCCGCTTTCACCTTATCTCTTCCTGCTTTGTGCGGAAGGTAGGGCTGGTAACCTGTATTCCGGTTAACGGTGTAACCGGTTACCGGTTACACCGTTAACCAATGGTGTCGGTAATCGGAACTGGGATTGGGGCTGGCGGTATACTGACTACTATCTAGGTATTTACCGCCGGTTATCCGGTTACCTGGAATATCGGGAACGCAGACAATCCTCTTCTCCATAGCGTCATTCTTCCTATTTCTCATTCTCACTATCTTCCCTTGCTTTCTTTCTTTCTACCTCTTAGTCTCTGTTCCAATCCAACTACCCACTTTCGCCATCAAAAGCAGAAGTAGCCCGCATCCAACCTTAAGCCCTGCAAAATCGACCCCTGCCTTCCGCTGCCGATCTGGGTAGAAGAGGGCGATCTGGGCAAAGAGAAAGATCCGACATAGGAAGAGGCAGCAAAATAACGACTCAATGGCGGCGACGAGGCTCGATTTCCCGGTCCCCGGAGGTCCGTAGAGAAGGTACCCGCACTTCCAGGCCCGGACGACGCTCCTGAAATAGTCCCTTCTCTGTACGAAGAGATTTAGGTCATCGATCAGCTCCTGAAATAGTCCCTTCGTCGTAGCTCCTCCGCGAACGGGTTTGCAATTGCTCCGCTGCGATGCAGAGGGCGAGACAGTAGCTGACCAAGCAACGACAGCTGGGAGCCGATTGGCCTCGATTCGGGAGAAGAGGAAGATCGATTCAACGCCGGCGACTAGGGAAGAGGAAGATCGATTCGTCGCCGGCATGTTCTCGTCGAGCCGCCAGAAACCACATCATTCTCTGAATCGGCGGTGGGGTTTTGACAATCCGCCGACCGCAGCGACTCTCTCTGGTCGTCTCTCTGAGAGTCAGATCTGAGTGGCGGCGGAACGAATTGAGGCATGCAGATGCAGGGGGTGGGTCGAAGGAAGAAGGTGAAGAAGTGGGGAGATGGGCTTTGGTGGTGGATGGGAGGGAGGATGAGATGAGATACTGTTGGCTGTTGATGAAGAGGGGAAGAAGAAGGTGAAGAAGCATCTTGTGGTGGTCGGTTTGAGGGAGAAGAGAAGAGGAAGTGAAGATTCTCCGCACTTAGCAGTGCCTCTTGGTTTCTCGGTATTAACCGATGGTAACCGGTAACCGGCTATCCGGTTAACCCGTTAGAATTCGGTACCGGTTGTCGATCCCCATTTTGACGTTGTCGGTATACCGTAACCGGTTCGGTTAGTAACCGGTTAACCATTACCGAACCAGTTACCAGCCCTAGCGGAAGGGTTGTCAAACTATACAACCAAGATGGTGGAGGAAAAACGGCTGCATGGTTTGCGGGTGAATCGAGGAGCCCCGGTGATTACCCACCTTTTTTTTGCTGACGATAGTATTTTCTTTGGCAGGGCGAACCAGCAAGAGGCAGTGGTCCTAAAGGAAATCCTACACGCATACGAAGTGGAGTCCGGCCAGATGGTCAACTTTCAAAAGTCGGAGGTCTCTTTTTCGGCTAATGTGAAACCTCATGGCCGGTTGATCACGAGCGGTACGTTAGGGATGCAGGAGGTCGAGAAGCATCAGAAATACCTTGGGCTGGTTACTGAGGTGGGGCGAGCAAAGAAGGACCTTTTCGCAGGGCTGAAGGAGCGAGTGAGGTCGAAGCTGAAGGGTTGGAAAGAACGAATGATGTGAGTAGCAGCACATGAGGTACTTATTAAGTCGGTTGCACAGGCACAACTTACCTATGAGATGTCAGTTTTTAAGATCCCGGACGGATTGCTTGATGAGGTTCACAGCTTGATAACAAATTTTTGGTTGGGTCAGAAGAATGAGGAAATGAGGTCTCATTGGCTACGGCGAGAAGAACTGGTGACCTTAAAAGAAGATGGGGGGATGGGATTCCGAGACCTCCCGGCTTCAATTTGGTTCTCCTAGCGAAGCAGCTCTGGTCGCTCTTCCTTCGCCCTGAGTCGTTGATTGCAAAGGTTCTGGCGGCAAAATATCACAAAAACTGCTCGATTTTGGACGCCCGACTGGGGAGTAGGCCGAGCTATATCTGGAGGAGCCTCTTGAGTGCTCAAGATTTTCTTTCCGATGGTCTTCGATGGAGGGTCGGCAATGGCGATCAGGTGAAGATATGGGGCGATCAATGGTTGCCTGGCGAGCCAGCTTTTGTTTCATCCGCTCCGACAGTCTTGTCAGTTGATGCAAGAGTCCGAGACCTCATTGACCCAGATACAGAGGGGTGGAACGTGGAACTAATCTCAGAGTGCTTTCCGGAGCCCATTGCTCGAACAATTATCCACTGCCGTTGAGAGGAGCTGAGGAGCAGGATCGCATTATTTGGCGGCATAGTGACAGCGGACAATTTACGGCAAAGAGTGGCTACCGGAGATGGCTCATGAACTTTATGGCAGCAGAAGGAATCAATCCTAGAGGTGATGAGAAACTATGGAAGACGATATGGACAATGAAAGTACCGCCAAAAGTAAGGCATTTTTTGTGGCGATTTACTAGGGCTATTTTACCTACTGGAGTGAAGGTGGCGGCAAAGAACCCGAGATGGACGGATAGATGCCCGTTTTGTAATGAGCGGGAGACCCAACACCACTTCTTTTTCGACTGTAGCTGGAGTGGTAGAATTTGGCGAGGGACTCCGTGGGCAGATGCTTTCGGGAAGCAGGGCGAACAGGATTGCCTCTCTTGGGTGGCGGAAGTGTTAAACCGCGCGAGTCAGGACCCTGTGGAGCGATGGGCAATGCTGATGTGGGCCCTCTGGAAGGAGCGCAATGCGCAACTCTTCAATGGCGTTAAATGGCCCGAAGATGAAATTGTTACTCGGGCGGTCTCTCACCTCGACGAGTATCGACGTAATCAGGGTTCGGAAGAGGCTAGCAGTGGAGACCAGTTGATGGAAGTTTGGAAGAGACCACTGGATGGCCACATCAAAGTCAATACTGATGTTGGTTTGTTCGCCGCTGGTGGCATTGGCTTAGGCACTGTTTTTCGAGATCATCACGGCCATTTTCTGGCGGCGGCAGCGAAGAAGGTTCGTGGAACTTATGAGGTGGAAATGGCGGAAGCTCTCTCCGCGGAATTTGGCATACAACTTGCACATCAGCTTGGCTTCCAACACCTGCAGCTAGAACTTGATTGTCTCCCGCTGGTTGAGAAGCTTCGACGACTAGAAGGTATTCAGACTGAACTTGGGCTCATAGCTAAATGTGTCGGCGACCTCCTGCAGGCGTCGGGGTCGAACACTAATTGTATCTCCCATGTGAGGCGATCGGCTTATAATGTCGCGCATATTATGGCACACAGTGAGACCCGTTGGAATAGTAGAGAAGTGTGGGTAGATAGACCACCGATTTTTCTTGTCGACCAACTTCGGTTGGATGATGTAACTGCCAGTTCTTAATTAATATACATCTGCAGGTTACCCGTAAAAAAAAAAGCTTGCCAACATGATTGTTTAACTTTAATGTAACCGACATATCATATCGGAATTAATTAACCATAACTGGTCATCCTAAGTGGCCCTCGCGCTCAATCTACTTTTTTACATTAAGAATTCATGCATATCTCTACTTTTCAACCAAAATGTGAGTCAACCAGGATATTTCGATTTGAACAGATGAACGTTAACTCGCTTGTTTGAATGAGTCAAAAATTAGAGCCAATTTGACAAACTTACTCACCGAAGTCAAACAACAATCCCCAAGACCGTCTATATTTAATAATAACTATAACAATAAAATTTAATAATAATAATAATCTTGGTTACATGATATATTATTATCTAACACAATAATATTCTTAGCCGACCGCACCCCCTCCCTCTTTCTCTTCAGGCATATCGGGAACGGATTAGGTCAGTAACCTTATGGTGAGTAACCATGAGTAACCTGTCCACATCAGCATGACATCAGCATCCCTCTCTCTCCTGGAAAGTCTTTAATTTTCCCCTCCTTAATATTTGACGGACGATTTCTCACTCGTTTTAAGTCGAAATTTAATTTTTTTTTGCACAATTAGATAAGATTAATTGTGCTCTTCAAAATGATATTCACTTTGATATATTTTTCGAACAAAAAAAATTGAGCCATTTTTTACCAGTCTATACCATATGGTATTGACTGGTATTGAAATAAGAGCATATCTATGGTTTTAAAAATGTAGCATGGTGGTACGAACAAACCAAGACTGTAGGATGGTTGAATACATGATAGTAGAAGTATATTAATTGTCATTTACGACTTTTAACATTGTGTACCACAAGATACCACCCCGTACCAGGGTGGTATTGTATGGTATTGCGTGGTATTTTTTTGGTCCTGTAATTTGTTCAACAAGAAATTTGTAGATCCAATAGATCATGATGAACTCGTCCCTTCTGTGCAAACGTTTTCAAAAACGAATTAAAAACGAAGAAAATACCATATGGTATGCAGTTGGTACCGAGAGGCCATAATTTTTGTTTCTAAAAAAATATTGAAAATTGATCTCATTTTGTAGAGCACGATGAACTCGTTCCATCTGTGCGAAAAAATTAAAATCCGAGTTAAAACGAAAAAGATATGAGCCGATTAAGAAAGCTAGGGAAAATAAAAATGGTCTTAAATTCTCCATCCTTAGATCTGGATTTTCTAAATGAAGGGTTCAAATTTGATTATTGATGGGTGCATAACTCATGGTTATGCACCCTATCTTGAGCCGGGCATATCCATAGGGGAGCGGATCAGGTAAGTAACTCTATGGTCAGTAACCATGAGTAACATGTCCACTTCAGCATGGCATCAGTAGCCTCTCTCTCCTCGAAAGTCTTTTATCTTTTCCCCTTTAATCTTTAACGGACGATTTCTCTCTCGTTTTAAGTCGAAATTTAATTTTTTTGCACAGATAATCCAGATTAAATATGCTCTTCAAAATGATATCCACTTTGATATATTTTTAGTACAAAAAAAATTGAATAATTTTTTACCAGTCATTACCATATGGTATGCTCCAATTTAATATCATATGGTAAGAAAGCGTACCATGATGGTATGAACATACCAATATGGTAAGAAGGTTGAATACATGATAGTAGGAGTATATTAACTGTCATTTACGACTTTCATCATTGTTTACTATAATTTACCACAAGTTACCAATCACATACCATAGTGGTAAAGTATGATAATTTTTTATCCAATATTTTTTTCACCCAGAAATTTATAGATCCAATAGATCATGATGAACTCGTTCCTTCTGAGCAAACGTTTTTAAAAACAACTTAAAAACGAAGAAGTTACCATATGGTATGTAGTTGGAAAAAAAAGTTCTCGAAATATATTGAAATCGGAGTTAGAACGAAGAAGAAAAGAGCCAATTAAGAAAACTAGAGAAAATAAAATGTCTTTAATTGACAACTCTTAGATCTGAATTTTCCTGACCCACTTAAATCTAAAGGTCCAGATTAGTTACTCATAGGTTAGTAATCATTGACTACTGATGGTTGTCACGCCGGCCGGCGTGACACAGGTTGAACCTGGTTCAACCTGTACCGGTCATAAAACCGGTATGACACCACCGGTATGACCGGCATGATCGATATACGAATCTCTAAGTAAAATGATCTTATATTAGTGAATTTATTTGATAAAAAGTAATTTATTATTTATTTTATGTGTTAAAAAGTTAAATGTTGATGTTATTTGTTGGATTCAAGTACATATATTTAGGTATTGACGTTAAATGTCGTGCTTAAATATGAGTATTTGTAAATTATTTGTAATATTAACCGGCATGAACCGGCACAAACCGATATATACCACCGGTCAAACCATTCCACTTGGTAAACCGGCACACTGGCACAAACCGGTTTGACAACCTTGCTACTAAGACTAACTCCAACCCAAAAAGCTATATTTAGCCTCCCAAGCTCTCAAATGTGTATATTTGCCTCCCCAAAACACCTTTTTGCTCCAACCCTAAACCTTCTAAATTTGCCTTCCCAACTCATAACCAACCAATCAAAAATTAAGAAAGTTAAAAAAAAAAAGAAAAAGAAGATGTTGGAAAGTGGAGTGGCCCAGCGTGTGGGCTTGTGTTCCATGGTTGGTCCCCCACCTTCTCCTTGCATATCTCCATATGAGTTTCTATCTATCCACCCCCAAGCCCACTTCTCCAAATTTGCAAGCCAAATAATTGGTGGGTTGGAGATGAAAAAAACCAAAAACCTCCCTTTCTCCAAATTTGCATGCTTGGGTTGGAGATAGTCTAACCCTATCCTAAGCGTATCCATCCCGTAAAATTGATTCCGGAGACACACGGCTAAAGACCATTCCCTTTATGTGTAGATAAGAATAAGATTAGATGCTGAGTCCAAAATAGAACCCAAAAGAAGAACAGTACATTGCTGTCCTACTCCTACCACTGCGCCCAGCCCACCACACCAAAATTAGGAACCAACCTTTCTGCCAGTATCCACTCTCCAGCGTCAAATGCGGAAACAATCAGTGCATTTTAGATTGTTAACAAATAGGTCCCCTCTGCTCTAAATACTAACAATTTTCTATTGATTTTTTTTAAATCCATGTCTGTTTAGTGAACATTTTCTCCGTTAACTAGCAAGCACAAACTTTATAAAACAAAAAGACAACTCATTTCAACTCCTATTCTATCGTATCTAAACACTCCATCATATTACAGTTCACATTACTCATAACTGGATTATTTTCTAATTCTATTATCAATGCCGAGATCTTACCCACACTGAAAACAAGTTTTAAATGTTCTTTAAAAACAAAAAAAATCTTTTGTAATTGACACACCCAATACATTTATATGTCAAGAATGTGGTACCCAAACAGACTAATTGACAAGACCGACTCTAATTAACCATGCACAATATTTTGTAAGCAACATAAATACCGATAAAAGAGCATTTTTCACAACTAAATAGACAGTTCTATGAAAATTTTAACGAACAAAAACCACGATAAAGACTGGCTATTGAATATGTAGTTGATTTATCATCAAAACTCGATTCCCTTGACCAATCAAATCAAAGAATGAATCCACCGTGGCGTTAAAAATATACAATCCCTAGTCCCTAGAGACGTTCATACTTAAAAAAAAAACGTCAATGGTGAACATCGGAAAATACTAAAAATTAGGTGGTCCATAGACTTGTGACGCTCAAGTATTGTGATCATGCATGTAATTAGACAGGGAGCGAGACAGTGAGGATTCACTCACTTTTGGGCCAGGCTGTCAAAACTTAGCCACTCCCTCTTTCCTTAAGCGAGGGTGCGAACGCGTGGGCCGAACCCTATAAATACCCCAAACTTCACTCCACTTCCAACTTCAACTTCTTCAACAACAAACAAATGTATACAGTTGTCTTCAGCAGCAGCACTCAACAGCTCCACTACTCGCAGCGCCAGTCATCCTACGACTCTTCCTCATCAGCATCCAACGGCAGCGGCACCACTTCGTCGGACAATCAGCAGCACCAGCTGGCGGCGGAGGTGCCGAAGAAGCGGACCGGGAGGAGGGTGTTCAGGGAGACGCGCCACCCGGTTTACCGAGGCGTTAGGAGCCGCAAAGGCGACAAGTGGGTCTGCGAGCTCCGCGAGCCAACCACCGGGACACGTGTCTGGCTCGGAACTCACGCGACCGCCGAGATGGCAGCCCGGGCCCATGACGTGGCAGCCCTGGCGTACCGCGGGAAGTCCGCCTGCCTCAACTTCGCCGACTCCGCCTGGCGCCTCCCCGTTCCCGCTTCCACCGATCAGTTGGACGTCAGGAGGGCGGCGGCCGAGGCCGCCGCGATGTTCCTTCCCGGCCAGGCGGCGGATGTGCATGAACATATCGCCGGCGGCGGGGATTATGCTGACAATGGTGATAGCAACGATAACAATGATGTGGTTCATGATGAAGTGGAGGGTGAGGTGCCGAGGCTGCTGTGGGAGATGGCGGAAGGCCCGCTGCTGTCTCCGCCGCGCTGCTACGGAGCGGAGAGCGGCGGGTGGAGCGGTTACATTGCGGAGGAGAGCGGCAGTTACTTGAACAACTTTGCTGATGAAGAATATGACTGGTCGTTGTGGAGTAATTAGTTACTGTACGCAGTCAGCGATGACATTGATTAATCGTTGCGGGAAGGAAGGAAGGAGTCCGTACTACTCGTGAAAATTTTGAAGTAACGAGTGAGTGGCCTTGATTGCTTGCTTGCTCAGAGACATTCTGAACCAAGTTGTAAGGAAATTAGACAGCGATCTTGTCGTGTTGGGGTTGTCTTCTTTCGATCGTCCATTGTTTTGTGGGACGAGAGGGAAGGGATGAAAGGGTGTGTGTGCTCATAATATCCTTTTTAGTTGTTTGAGCACATATCCGATCCACACCAGCCATTCGGGGGGAGGACTCCTGGAATGCTATCTTCTCCATCGTTGCGGCGACCTTTTTTTTTTTTGCTCGCCGTCGATGCTGATCGGCCGACGGAAGGTTTTTGTTTTGATGGGCAATTTCCCCTCACCTGCTGAAACCGGCCGGGGCCACATGGTGCCCCTATTGTTGAAATTGTAGTTGTGGGGTTCCTTCTCGGATTACTTATGTCTTTCATTCCCTAATAATCCACTCAGACGTACGCAATGCAATGAAGTTCTGTTCATACTATCTAAGTTTTACTATTTGGACAACGAATTAATCGAATTTTGTGACATAATACTATATCGTAAACTTTAATGGGTAAATACAAATTCTTAATTACCTAACTCCAATCATAAAATTCATTTAATCTATATTATTCATCGAAATATAACAAAGTACATATAACACACGTAAATACAGATGTATAGCGTACTTTAAGCGTAAACTATCATTATATATTTAGTTTAGACTAACATATACCTGAAGCATGCTAACCTTACTATATGCTCACGATATTTGTTATCTAGACTATGAATTAATCAATAGGATAAACCAACCTTTTCTTTCCTGTTTTTGACAAGCAAGCTTCCTTTTCCTTTCCTCCACTTTTCTTTCCGATTTTGCCATCCTCCCGATCCCAGGTGTCTTTGTTTCCCCGGTCAACTACCAAAATGGTCAGCCAAATTTGTGTTTATTCACAAATCGGTCACTAGTAAGAATGGCGGGATTGAACAACATGATGGGACGTTGTGGAATCATTTGCTAGATACTATAGTGAGTTGAGATATTTGTGGCTGTGGGAGTGGTTGAGTAATACTCCAGCGAGTGATATTATAATATGAGTGGCCTAGTTTGCTCGGGGATTGTGCACCAAGTGAATTCTAGTAAGGACTAAGGACGGGTAGTCGTTTAATTTCTTTTTCGTTTTTCGTTTTGGGTCTCCTTCCTTATTCTTAGATTATTGTCCTACGTTTGTTTCTGGTGGGGACTAGGGAGAGGGATTGGGACATCAACTTATTGTTGTGCTCATAATAATATCTCTTGTTAATTTGAGCATCTACGAATGTTATGGTTGCAGTTTTGAAGGGAAAGGTATGACATGTTCTGGTTGCAGTTTTGAAGGAAAAGGTGTGACATGTTCATACAAGTTCTGTTTGCTAATAGTGATATATATGGTGACGTCTTCGGTGCACTCACTTTTTTGGGATTTTTCCAATAATAGCACCTTTAAAAAAATTACAAAAATAGCACCCATATAAAAAAATTTACAAAACTAGCACCAATTTTTTTGGAACGCACCCCTAAGATGCGTTTTAATTGTAAAACGCACCAAACAGATGCGATCTACATGTAAAACGCATCAGAGGGGTGCAATCCATAAAATAAAACGCACCAAACAGATGCGATTTGGGGAGGACGCGGAACGATCTTCAAGATCGTCGGATTGAGGGACGATCCGACGGCTCAGCGCATGCCAGCGGAGCGATCCGCGCCGAGGATCCCAGATCGCACGCCAGCGGAGCAATCCACGCCCAATGAAGCACAAATCGCATCGGGAGGGTGCAATCCGCGCCTAGGGAAGCGCAAATCGCATTGGAAGAGTGCGATCCGCGCGAGGGCAAAATTACCGCCTCGCCCCTGGAGCCTGCGATCTGATGGGTATAAATTCTCCCCTTCCCTTCTCATTTCTTCACACCACAACCCATTCTTCCTTCTCTCTCTAGGTTTTATCTCTCTAAACCCTCCCCCTCCCAAAAGCCTAGGAAATAGTGGTATGTTGGTTGCGGCAAAGTCCGATCTGCCATCAGAAAACATTTCTTAGGTTTTTTCCTCAAAACCCGCCGAGCCGAAGCTCTGTCCGAATTGCGCCGAAAAAATGGCCGATTGGTGGCAAGGAGAAGGAGTTTTTGTTGATGAATTTCAAGCGGTACGTACTCATTATTCGGGTTTAATTTTTGTTGTTGTTATCTTGCTTTTTAATTAATCTATGTACTAACCTCGTTGTTATTTTCTCGTAGGCTGCGGAGGACGTGGATATTTACAACCACGGTATTATCTCGAGCAAGGACCGTTGGATCCAACCGACTTGTACGACCAACCCAACCATCGGTCAAGGGATGTTTGGAACGCTCACCCGGTACATACAATTCTTTACAATTTGTCCTTCTTTTATTTTGTTAATGTATTTAGTGGAATATAAAATAAATTTATGTTGAATTTTTAATCGTATTGGTGTTTTTCAATAATTTAATCGAATACATAGCGCCACTTACTTCGACTCTTTATAAAGAGATGCACGTCTAAGGAAATGGGGTTTTAAGCGGTTATCATATCCTCCAATTCCCTGGGAAAATCGGGTATTAAGAGATCCTCGGATCCCCCCTTTTTCTGTCAACAAGGCTGCGTTTCTAAGAAGATGTATACCTCTTCTAAGAGTCTAACGAGTGTTGCTTCGTATTCGATTAAATTATTTAAAACAACCAAAACGATTAAATAATTTACCAAACAGTCCTTACGATTTATTTTTATGTATACAAATGGAATTTTATTAATTTTAAACAATTGAATATGTATGTTTTTCTTTAAAATATTGATTCATTAACAATGTCATTTAATTTAGTTAATTTAGTATGTTTATTTTACGATAATATGTATGTATCTCTTTAAATTATTATTCATTTAGAATGTTATTATGTTAATTAATTTAGGATGTTCGTTTTATGATAATATGTATGTATCTCTTTAAATTATTATTAATTTAGAATGCTATTATGTTAATTATAAGAAATGTCTTTTTATGATAATAAAATTCTGCTTGAAGTTAAATAATTTAATTTAATAATTTAGTTATAAGGAATAAACCCTTACTAATATATAATAATTAACGTGTAAATTTTCCCTAGGAGGCACAAACAATAATCCGCTACAGGGGTACGACCAATGTGCTCCCATTCCACCCAGCTATCTTGCCCTTTCTCAAAAGCGCACGATTGGACTCGATTAGGCATTTTAACGGCATCAAAGTTGAACGCCAACTCATCACCGCCCTAGTTGAGAGATGGAGAAGGGAGACCCATTGCTTCAACTTTAGAGAAGGAGAGGCCACCATCACACTAAAGGATGTCGCCATCCTAACCCATCTCCCCATCGACGGCAAACCGGTGTGCGTGAGTGATCATCCCCCCGACGATGTCGACGGTATGCCCGGTTGGGTTCATTTCATCTATAGTGTTTTGGGAGTAAAAGTACCAGTGAAGGGGTGCGTTGATGAGACCGATCGCATGCCACCAATGAGGAAACACCAAGTGTCAATTACTTGGTTGACGAAGTACTTTAGAGAGCATTACGAGAGTCATCCCCTAACCGAGGAAAGTCCGGAGGATGAGAAGGAGAGATATGCTCGGGTCTATCTCATTGGCATGATCGGAGGAGTGTTCTTCTCCAAAAAAGCAAGCAATCTCCTTAGTTGTGGATGGCTTAGGATCATCCTCGGTAGTTGGGAGGAGATGGGGGAGTATAGTTGGGCATCCGCTTGCCTGGCTAATATCTACCACAAGTTGTGCAATGCCTCTCTAAAAGCTGTGAGGGAGGTCGGCGGCGCAATGTTCATCGTCCAATTTTGGGCTTGGGAGCATATGCCATGCATTGCACCGGTACAACGTCCCGACCGGGATTGGCCAATCGATCATCCCCTAAGAGGGGAAGCTTATGGAACAAGGTAAACTTCCCATACCCATCATGTTTTTTCTTGGTTGATTTTCCCTTGTGTTTTAGCTTATTGTAATTTCGATTATTGTTTTATTAATAAGGTGGCTCGGACACTTAACTTGTGACAACCTTGCCCAACACAAGTTGGATGAGTATCGGAGGAGGTTTGAGCGACTTTGGGAAGGAGAGGTAACTTCTATACTTCAATCCATTTATACCTTTTTACCATGGAAGACATGTATTTTTCCAATTCTTACTATCTTAATTTACTCATTTTGCGCGTGTAGATCATCTTCGATCCATACCCGGAGAACATCGTTAATTGGCATCTCCAGCAATTCCCCGAGCATATCGGCCAATGGTGCACGAGGGTCCCTCTAATTTGTTTTGGGACCGTGGAGTGGCACTTGCCGGATCGATGCCTCCGTCAGTTTGGTCGGGAGCAGTGCATTCCGTTGGAGGTCCCCGAAAGTCAAAGGGCCTTCCATGGTCGAGATGGGCGGCAAGGTACTCGAGATTGGCCCTTGAAGCTGGAGAAATTCATCACCATGTGGGCGAACCGACAAGGGCAAGATATTGTCACTCCATCAGCAGTGGGTCGAATGGGGTATCATGACCCATACTTGGATCGATATCGGCAAACATCGGTCCGTTACATGACTCCGGAGGGTGCTGCCGATGGTGCATTAGTAAGTATATTCCACTCTACATAATTAAATGTATTGTTTTGGTTCCTAAATTGTTTCCTAACTTATTGTTTTGTGATTTAGGCTGACGGGATTGAGCGGATTAAAGACATTACCACCGGGAGAATGGAGCTGGGAAATGAAGGTGTGAGCTTCATCAGGAGGATGGCAAACAGTCTCCTTGGCTGTATCAGAGCTCAGGGGAGGGATCATCGTAGATATTCGTCCATGCCCGCACCACCGCCACCTCCGGTACAAGTTGATGTCCCCGATCCCCCACCACCATACGAGAGGAAGCTAAGCAAGAGGGTCCGGGAAAGGCCCATCGAGCCCGAAGTCACGCCATATCCCGGGTGGAAAGTGCCGCCTCCATTGGTTGCTCCCCAAGGTGTCGGCCCGAGATGCCCCCAAGGTGGCGGACCGAGTTCTCCACAAGTTGCCGGCCCGAGTTCCACCCAAACTCCCCACCAAGGCTCGTACTACGATCCCCGCTCGACCTACCATCAAACCCCTCCGAGTCCCACTCCGATCTCATACAACGATCCCCGCCATGGAGCATACTACGATCACCGCCCGGTCTACCCCCCATCTCCCCGCCAAGGAGGTTACTACAATTACCGCCCGGTCTACCCCCCATCTCCCCGCCATACATCATCGGGTACTTGGCATGATGGTTCCTCGGCGATGGCACACCACGATTTTACGCCATGGACTCGCCCTCATCAGCAGTGGCCTCGTACTACTCACCGTACTTCCGTGGATGTCCCCCGCTCGACCCTGGAAGTGCTGATTCCCCGCCGACACAGCACTGACTTGCGCCAAAC